TGCCTCACGGACTAGAGCCTTGCCAAGCATCTTCCTGGGACTGACTGAGCGGCTCTCTTTTGAGACACCGATCTGTCATCCAGCGTCTCATCCTGTCCCCTTGCGTCCGACGAAGTGGGCGGTTGCACACAAGCTCGCATTAAAATCGAATAGCTACTCTTTAAGGTGCCTCCTGCTCTGGTCTGGTCTGGTTTCTTTGGATTTTGCCTGATATGCTTGATCTGAGTAAGCCACCTGAAGGCTTAAGTGCCTCAGGACGTCTAGATGCGTAGGATGCTGCTGCTGTGCAGGTCATCGTATCTAGCCAGCTACCTCTGCTGGAATTGTGCAGGGCATTTGGACGGATAGTGGATGAGGGCAGTAGTTTCTGCCCCCAGGAGCTGACACTCTGCAGATTCAGCAGAGGCTATATAAACAAGGGGTAGAGGAAACTCAACTCTTCCTCCCGCCCCTTAAAAAAGACAACAACAGCATTCCAGTTGAAGAACGTGGGATATTCAAGATAGTCTTCTACACTACAGGATACCCTCTTGTGCTTCTTTCCATTCACAAAGTGACATAAGGCAAGGGAAGGTCCCAGCAGGTGATGCCTTTTTGCACCACTTAGCCACTTCTCACCCAAACATAAAACAATTGTCAGGATTGTTTTTCAGCAAGTGTGAACGGTAGCGAGCAGAAGAGGGTATCCTCTAGAGACCAGTGGTCCCTAACCTTTTTGACACCAGGGACCGGTTTAGTTGAAGACCATGCCCCCAAGGATGGACGGGGGTGGGGGTGGGGAGAGTACATGTTATGCAATAGGTTGTTGGAGGATAGCTTTGAATCAAGATCATAAAGGAAATGGCGAGCAGGAGGTGAGCTGCAATTGAAGCTCCATTGCCTGTTGGATCAGCAGCGGCTTAGAACCTAAGAGGAGGGCTGGCTCCTCTTAGATTCCAGTGCCACAGGCACAGTTGATCGAGCAGCAGGAGGAAGGGAGCAGGGAGTGAAGCTCCGCCTCCTGTCAGATCAGCAGCGGCCTTAGAACCTAAGAGGAGTGTGCTGACAGGAGGCAGAGTTTTGCTCATCCCTCACCTCCTGCTCGCCACTCATCTGTCCCGGTGGCCTGGTCCTTCCAAGGCTACAGACTGGGACGGGTCCACGGACCAGGGTTGGGGACCCCTGCTGTAGACCATCTTGACTGCTGCCATTGTTGTTGTTAACATTCAGGCAGCTCTTTGCTACATAAAGCTTTGGCAACTTTTTCCTGCTGGCGACGTGGGCATGATATTGTACATTTTTGTTGTTGTTGTTTAATCGTTAAGTCGTGTCTGACTCTTCGTGACCCCATAGACCAGAGCACGCCAGGCCCTCCTATCTTCCACTGCCTCCCTGAGTTGGGTCAAATTCATGTTGGTAGCTTCGAGGACACTGCCCAGCCATCTCATCCTCTGTCATCCCCTTCTCCTCTTGCCCTCACACTTTCCCAGCATCAAGGTCTTTTCCAGGGAGTCTTCTCTTCTCATGAGATGGCCAAAGTCTTGGAGCCTCAGCTTCAGGATCTGTCCTTCCAGTGAGCACTCAGGGTTGATTTCCTTCAGAATGGATAGGTTCGTTCTCCTTGCAGTCCGGGGGACTCTCATGAGTCTCCTCCAGCACCACAATTCAAAAACATCAATTCTTCAGTGGTCAGCCTTCTTTATGGTGCAGCCCTCACTTCCATACATTAATACTGGAAAAGCCATAGCTTTGACTATGTGGACCTTTGTCGGCCAGGTGATGCCTCTGCTTTTTAAGATGCTGTCTGTCATCGCTTTCCTCCCAGTAAGCTGTCCCCATCTGCAGTGATCATGGAGCCCAAGAAAATAAAATCTGTCACTGTACATTTATGGAACATTAATAAAATAATTTTTAAAAAATATATATTTTCCTTTTTTTAAAGCAGTCCAGTAAAGGTGTCACCTGTTCCTGCATTTGTATTGTTTTGGGGACCACACAGCCTTTTCCTGATTTTTATTGAAGATGAAAATACTTACATTTCAAGCTGAGTTTAAAAATGTTGAATCCCATTTCTTTTTCTGGTTCTTGTTTTTACTCTCATTTTTTTGTCGGGGGGGATTGATCCTTTAAGGTTTGTATGGTATTACTTTTTATTTTTTTTTCTTCTAGAAAAATTACCTTTGAAAAGCAATGGTTCTACTTAGATAATGCCATTGGACATATTTATGGAACAACCTTTGAAGTGACCAGCGGTGGGAGCTTACAGCCAAAAAAGAGAGGGGAAGAGATGGCGACCGGTAGGTGGAAACAAGCAAATCGTTTTCTGAGCAAAGTACAGTGTGTTGTTTTTAAGGGGAAATCTCAGCCCTGCTAGAATTTTAAAAAATCTTGTTCATCTTTTATATGCGTTGTCCTGAATCAGCAGTGAATCAGCTTTGCTATTTGGGAAGAAAGAAGGTGGGCTTGCCAATCCAGTTATACTTCAGACAAGGAAAAGTCACAAAAACAACATTATTTAGTTGTCTAGTAAAGGATTCCTCCTTAAAGGGGTTGGGGTCGCTCCTCGATCCATGAAAGTTCATCTACCTCCATGCTATTGGGAAGAAAGGGAAAAATCCCCATGATCTCTGCTCAGTCATCAGAAATAGAAAGTGTTGTCTTTCCAGTGCTCAAGTAAAGGTATTGGAAAACAACCACTCCCCACCTAAACCATTCATCTCAATGGACACAGCCGTGCCCACAAAGACCATCTAACATGGAGGCCATTCCAGATTGGTCCCCTGCCTTTTTATAAGAATGATGTCAAATTTGCTGATTATCAGCCCTGTTAATGGTCGCCCAGCAGATCTTGAATCACAGACTTTCCCTGGAGACAACTTAATGGGCTGGTTTGGATTGCCATAGCTTGGTTTAGTAAACCAGGGCACCCACCCCACCTTTGCCCCTCCCTCTGCAGTGCAGGCAAACTAAGAGGCCCTTTATTCACTAGCAATATATATGCCTGCCAGTTTTGGAACAAAGGGATTTCGCGCTCCCGTTTTAGCATTCTAGGAATAATTTTTGCAAGACTTCATTTTTTTTTGTTTTTCTCCAGCAGTGTTTCATAAATCTCTGTGTGCTTTTTTTTAGAAACAAAAGAAGCAGGTACAGACAACCGTAATATAGTGGATGATGGAAAGTCTCAGAAACTGACTCATGATGATATAAAGGCTTTGAAAGATAAAGGCATTAAAGGACAGGTAACAACACCTGGTGTTTATTCTTATCTTGGTGGCAGCCTATCATAACCTCCCACTGTAAACTTCAAGGCTTCATAATTTGCACGATGCGATGACAGCTAGGCAGATTGCAGCCATATGTCGTTGTAATACAAGGCAGTTAGAAAACTGGGTGGACCATGAAATGATTTCATGCAAAACTCCTCTGATGCTCGACTTACACATCACTCGCAAAGGTCATTGTTTTCCCCACTTATACATCACTGCCTTCTTTTTCTTAGATGGTTGCTTTGTGTTTTGAAAGCAATATGGTTAGTAGTGGTAAGTGTCCAAATAGAAACTGTTCTGATGAAAACACATATACATCGATCTGAGTCCTTTCCCACTCATTAAGGTAGTTTCTGTTTCTGTGGTTCTTCGCCTTCAGTCCTCCAAATGTTTTGGACTTCCAAATTTCAGAATTCCTGACCACTGGCCATTCTGCCTTAAGCCCTCTGGGAACTGAACAGCTTGAAGACTAAAGGTCAACACGGCTGGCCTATTTTATTAGTGGCTGTCAAAGAGATTCAGACAGATGTAGACAGAAAGCAGCAAATGGTTGTCTGGTAGAAAAGGGGGGTCTTCCCACCTCCGTCTGATTATTTAAATGGAAAAAAAAAGGCATTGAACACAGGACATGTTGTGTACAAGGTATGTTTAACTATGGATGCATTTTCTTGCCTCCACTTCCTATCTGAATTTCATATTATTAGCGGAATAACTTAGAATGAAAGGCCTTTTCATGTAATGTAGAAGGTTCCAGTGGGTCTACGTTTTCTTAGGGCTGCATGCTGTGCTCAAGTAATCTGTCTGTTCAGTTACTGTGGATTATTTGTTCCCCCTATATCCCTGAATTAGTGTTGGCCAAGTACATTTTCTTCTTTAAAAATTGTGTGTCAATAAAAAGAAGCAGATCAACAGCAGCAGTAACAAAACTCTCTTTACATTATTTCTTTTAAATACAATTGTACCATATTGGGGAAATGGTGACACTCTTTTCTCTTGAAGGAAATAGTTCAGCAGTTGATAGAAAACAGCACCACGTTTAGAGACAAGACAGAATTCTCTCAGGATAAGTACATCAAGAAAAAGAAAAAGAAGTAAGTTGAATATTAAGAAGGGGATGTATTTGGAAGCTCACAAATCACCTATGCCTTTTCCTCAGTTATTGTGTTGTACTTACAGATACGAAGCAGTTATTACCATTATAAAACCCTCTACCCGTATTTTGTCAACGATGTACTATGCAAGAGAACCAGGAAAAATAAAGTAAGTTTTAATATATATGAATAACCTAGTTTGCAGAACTTAAATGTTTTTCGGGATGGGGGGTGGGAAAGGAATCTATCATCTGTGAGGCTCTATTAATGCCTGCCAGCAGGGATCACTTTGACAGGGATTAGACAACATGATACAGGAGAAGACAATCATGATGGCTGTGCATTACCTCCAGTATCTGGGTTTCTGGGGACAGTATGACCAATTTGGTTCTCATGTTCTTTTTATGGGCTTCCTATAGACATTTGTTTGGCTAGTATAGTAACAGAATGCTGGACTAGATGAAAGATTGCATTCTTACTTGACTGTGGTCAGTTTGTTTGGTTTAACTGTTCACAACAGTAATTGTGGATTCTTCAAAATCATGGATAGACCTTACTGAAGTCAGTGCTGCACTGGTGAGCACAGAGTGCTGTCCTCTGAAGATGCCGGCCACAGAGACTGGCGAAACGTTAGGATGAACAACCTTCAGAACATGGCCAAAGAGCCCGAAAAACCCACAACAACCAATATTATATTTGTTGTCTATGTTTCACAGTTCGATTTACCTCTTGGCACAAGCATTTGGTCATACAAGACCATAAAAGGCAGGTAGACTGTGTGGCCCAAGGAGTTTGTTTTTTTGTTGCCAGGTCTTGGAATGATAAAAGGTAAAGGACAGAAAAGTACTCAAGTCCAGCTCTGTGCTTTAAGGCATAGCTGGTGATCCATTAGCTTTTTCACTGATCTAGGCGGTTGATTTCTAATCATTAGTAAAAGCCTTCAGATGACTAATGTGTTCCATTATGTAATTCGTATTACCAAAATATTAGTATGTGATTAAACAGAAGCTTCTGTAGTATCTTGAAGCATAAACAAACTCCTTGGTCTACACAGTCTGTCTGCCTTTTGTATCACAACAATATCTTTTTAGAGAACTGAGTAGCTGTGAAAGTACAGTGGTGCCTCACACAACGAGTGCACCGTAGAGCGATGAATTCGCAAATGCGATCACATACCGATGCCTCAATAGGGAAAAAATCGCAGACCGAAGGTCGGTAAGCGGTTCGCTTACCGACCTTCACTTTGCGACCCACCGATCAGCTGTTTGGCAGCTACAAAATGGCCGCCAGAAGCCGCAGAATGGCCTCGCGCAGCGTTTTCGCGCCCTCGTTAAGCGAGGGGAGGGCGCGAAAATGGTTGCCGGCCATCGGAGAAACATCGCTGAACGGTGAGTACAGCAGCCGATTGGAACGCGTATCTTGAAGCATAAACAAACTCCTTGGGCTACACAGTCTGTCTGCCTTTTGTATCACAACAATATCTTTTTAGAGAACTGAGCAGCTGTGAAAATAATAGCTTTTTGCTTAGCTGTCTTGGTGGTTATTTGAGATCAAGCCATTGAGCTCAGTGTAGGTATTGTTGAATGGCTAGCCTTGTTTTAACAGCAAGGAATTGGGCTAAATTGTGTTTTAGCCCTTTGAATTCTATGAACGGCTACAATTTCCAGTAGCTAAGATGTTGGCATTTACATTCCTTGTTGCACACCATTCATGAGACTTGGCACACAGTGAGAAATACAAACATGGACTCCTTAACCGGTGACAGTTTATTGCCGTTTAAGTTATCCAGAGTATGTAAGGGATGTAGGAGTCTAACCTATATCTTTGCAGCCTAAGGTTTTGTAAATATTTCCTTAATTAAAGCAGATGAAATAAAAAGTTAATAGAAAAATATTTGATTGTATTTCTTCAGATTTTAAATACAATTCATGTCAGGAATGAAAGTAATCTTTGTTTTCGTAGTTATTTGAGATATGACACTCTAGCCCAGATGTTGACCTGGGGCAACGTGCGTGCTGGCAACAAGATGATTGTGATGGAAACCTGTGCTGGATTGGTCCTGGGTGCTGTTATGGAGAGAATGGGAGGTAAGAACAGCGAGTCTGCATAATTTGGTTTGTCTTGACTTATGTGTATTTAAGAATATAATTTTAATTCATAGTATTTCTATGATAGAATATGAATCTGGCCTTTTAGAAGTGTGATCTTTTATCATCTTATATTAAACGTGTTAATGGTGGAAGACATTTTCACAAATGAAACAGTCATAGCACAATACAAAGTCCCTCCCCCAAAGCAATATATAAAATGTATAGCTATTTGGGAACACTCAGTTTTATTTCCCCCAAAGACACTTTGAAGTGTACCTGGATTGAAATAGGCAATTAGGGGGCAACATTGCGAGTTCATTTTTTAAAAATACCAGTTGTAATTACTTACTGACTGCTTGTGGGTGGTCACTGGTGATTATTTATTCAGTAATGCCGTACTAGCGTTCTTCAGATTGGGTTAGGTTCCAGAGAACTTCTTTAGACATGGCTCCCTGGACAGATCCAGTGCATTGAAGGACATAAATTATTTTGATTTATTGTGAACTGGTTTTGCCAGTCAAGTTCAGCTTCAGAACAGATTTGCCACCTGACATGGAATTAGGGGCAACCATTGACACCTGAGTCCAAATCTCCTTCAGAATTGTGAGCAGATGAGTTGCACTGTTCTTTGGGTCTGGAGTCAAGATCAGCTGTGAGCAGCATATAGGCCATAACCCACACCACCATCACCATTTCTGAAGCCAGAATAGCAACCCTTTCAGGATTAATGTGTTTGTGGCCAAAACAAAGGAGAACTCTGGTAATTCTCATTTAAAGCAGGGCACAGGGTACCCCCACACATAGCTTTACCCCTCAGGAGGGATTTTCTGAAACCAGAAGCAAACATCTGGCCAGTTCTGGTTTCATTCTTGGGAAATGGTATGAACTGAAGCAGATTCTAGAGTTGAAAATTAGCTCCTAGACCCCCAGAGCTTGCTCGCTCGGACCTAGATTCCAGTCTGGATAGTGAAAACATTCACAAGATCTTCACATATTTCCCATTGCCAGTTTTCATTTTACCTGGAATCACTTGCTTGTACTAACAAGCCTCATACCACTTGAATGTTCATGTTGTGATTAGCGCTTGGTGACTTGAAGCTGGGAATGTAAACTGCTCACCCCCTTTCAGAAGTGTTGGTTGATATCATGTGAAATCTCAACAAAATGTTTGCCTTTCTTGGCTCTTTCCCTCATGCAAATTCTCTGATATACATACAGGATTTATTTAATCTGTCCTGATGCAATTCTCTTCATTCAGATGCTTATTAAGTTGACCTTGGTTATGCTTGCAGGTTATGGATCTATTGTTCATATGTATCCAGGAGGAGGACCTGTTAGAACAGCCGCAAACTGTTTCGGATTTCCCGAATCCTTTTTTCAGACTCTTTACGAGTTCCCTCTCAGCAAAGTGAACAGTGTTCTCTCTGGAACGTTTTCCTTAAATATACTGCCTTCTGAGCCTGAAGAGACCATGGCAGTGACAGAAGACAGCAATGGGTCACTGGATGACAAACAACACCCCATACAGGAAGCAGATATGGAATGCTGTGCTGAGTTAGCAATGGAGAGCGATCAACCAGAAGAACAAGAAATGGTGGACATTCCAACTGAGGGTGAAGCATTTGACAATAATAAAGCAAAGGGAACAGTAAGATTTTATTGACCAACTTTTGAGACACAGAAAGGAAATGTTGTTTAAGAATTAATCCAAGTGTTCCTGTTTTGTGTTAGTCTATTTGACATCCCATCTTCAGCTCTGAAGCCTCTAGGGTATCTTAACATTACTAAAAACATGTCTCAGAGATAGCTTTTAGCCCCAGTTACCAGCTCAGTGCCTTATCTGTTACATCTTTTCACAATTAAAGTCACTTGTCATGGCCTTTTGCTAAGACTCAGAGTTCTCTAACACCATGTTGAGTTCATTCACACTTGCAGGTTTATCGTACCATACGTATACTGTAATGTATTCTGGCATGGTGTGGGTAGTCTCTTACTTTTACTGACCTAAAGCCAGCTGTAAATCAGTCAAGGCCCAAGCTTTCCTATGCAGGTACAGTAAATGTTAGGATTTAGATGTAAGGAACTTGAAAGGTAGTCATACAGAGAAGGGGCAAGATCTCTCTCTGATCATTCCAGAGTGCAGGACTCATAATAATGGGCTCAAGCTACAAGAAGATAGGTTTAGGCTGAATATCAGGAAAACCTTCTTAACTGTTAGAGCAGTATGACAATGGAACCAATTACTTTGGGAGGTGGTGGGCACTCCAACACTGGAGGCATACGAGAGGAAAATGGACAACCATCTGTCGGATGTGCTTTGATTTGAATTCCTGCATTGAGCAGGGGGTTGGACTCAGTGGCCTTATAGGCCCCTTCCAACTCAATTATTCTATGATTCTGACTTGTCTGCTGTATAATTATGCAAAGTTGGGTACAAAGATGTCCTTAGATGTTCATTTTTGCTGGTCAATATGTTTATGTGCTTGGCAGACAGATGACAAACAAAAGAAACAGGAGAAGAGGAGAAAAAAGTTAATAGAGACTGCTGCTTTGTTGAAAGATAAAGATGCGGATGGGTGAGTTTGATCTATGTCATGGTTTGCCTGAAGTGTCGTATCATTTAATCTAATTTGAAAATTGTGTGTTTCTATAGTGCATTGACTCTTGTGTTTCTAACCATGTGTTCAAAGTGGTGACTTCACCTCTAGCTTGTAGTATTGTTTCAACTTCTTTTTTGTTTCTTCTTTCACCAATGTTGCTGCCTTTCTACACTGTACCATTCTCCGTTCAAACCTCCTCCTTTTCCCATCCCGTTCTCCAGTACTACCCATTTAGTGATCTAGGATGTCGTAACAAGGCAGGTTTGGAAAAGGTGGTTAAGGTTTTCTCTTGAGAAAAGCAAACAAAAATCCTTCTCCTTGCTCCTTCCTGTTTTTCCTACTTCCAAGAGAAATTTTTTCAATTCTCTTTTTAAAAAAAAAAAAAAGTGATACAGTACATATGTGCTGTCCTAGTACACTTTTCTTTAAAACAAAAATTCACTTCCTTGACAGAGCCAAGGACCTAGTTAATTTGCCAGTATCCTGAAGTGGCTCTCCTCCTGAGCCGTTTTCACAGTACTGGCAAATTAACAGGGGAGGGCTTGCTTTTGGTTCATTCCCAACTATTTCATATGCTGGAAATGAACCAAAGCAGAGCAATCCTATCCACTCCAAAAAAGAAGAGCCTCTGCCTAACAAGGACCAGAAGGATGTGGGTAGAACCACTCTGGGGGCGTACTGGCTGACTGCAGCAAAGATGTCGTTCAGTTGCTGTCTTTAGGAGCAAACCAGCCCATCCCAGCAGCAGACCAAGCAGTGGACTAAATGCCCATGTAGTCATCCCTCAGATAGATCTTCTCAGAGAATCTCATCTACAGGAGGTAGACCAGAGTTAGGCAACTGGTATGGCCCTCCAAATGTATTCGCCTTGCATTTCCCATCAGATCTCATTATTGTATCCAGTGGTCAAGAGTGATGGGAGTTACAATCCAAAAAATATCTAGAAGGCCACAGTTGCCCATCCCTGGACATGATGGATCCTGTGACTGATTATTGGTAGAAGCAAAGGTGGCTTAGGAGTCATCAACAACCATCAGTTTTTTTAATCTAAAACAACTCTTCACATCCCTTACGGGTTTTTATGAATTTGAAGTTTACAAGAAGGAGCTGTTCACAGTCCCAAAAGCAATGTCTACAGAAGGAAGCCTATGTGGGATGTTTGTAGAATGGCGTGACAAACTTTTGACCCATGAGATATTGCGGATCTGCAATTCCCATTATACAGAACAGCATGGCCTATCCATAGTCTTATAGTTAAACTCAGCTAAAGACAGGTAGCAGAACAAATATTTCCCGTCCCCTTTCTCCATTCTGCACTCTTGAAAATCCTCTCCAGAGCAATATAGGACCAATGGGGGTTGAGGCACAGGGAGAGGCTGACTGCCCCCCTGTGCCTCAATCATATTCTTCAGGAGAACCCCCTGATCCTCTAGAGGAACGTCCTGGGACAGGCAGAGGACAAGAAGAGATTGGAAGTCTTCCATCCCTGAAGGTTTTTTTTTAAGCTTAACATAGCTTAAGATCCAAACGATATTTACATGGTTGCGTCTGAAACATATTTTTCCTTGCTTGGCATCAATGAAAAAAGGGATCATAGGTAGAACGATTTGTTTGTAAAACCCATTACCGGAGAGGAAATATGCTTTGTCTGAAATTGCCCTTCATTATTTCAGCTCCATTTGCACAAAAGATTAACAGACCTGTACTATTCTAGGAAAGAAAACTAACCAGTATAAAACTTTCTCTTGCAGTTTAATCATAGCCAGTCGATTTCATCCAGCACCTTTATTGCTGTCATTATTGGAATTTGTTGCTCCTTCAAGGCCTTTTGTTGTTTACTGCCAATATAAAGAGGTACATTTTCTTGTCTTATTATATTTCAAAGTTTTTCAAAAAGCATGGTTAATCAAAATGTCTTCTTATTTACTATCCACTTGTTCCCGAATTGCACACCCAAGGAATTAGCATTAAGATTGCTTATTGACAATCAGCGATTTGTTGCATATGCTGTAGTACTATTTGCATTGGCAGCCAAGAACCTGAGGTTTAATTTTCTCAAGGACCATAATGCCATTTAATTCAATGGTCCATAGTTGGAGCTGCTCAAAGAAGGGCACATTTTAAAACATGTACAGTGGTGCCTTGACTTACGACCATAATCTGTTCCAGAATATAGACATAACTCGAAATGGCCATAAGTTGAAGAACCATTTCCCATTGAAATGCATTGGAATGCGATTAATCCGTTCCGGCCCAACCCCACCCACCCCCCAAAATAAAATAAACAATGCAGCAAGCCCCACCGGAAGGCACTGGGGCTTTTTTTTAAAAAAACAACCCAAACATAAAGCACATAGGAAGCTCCATTGCTGGGGCTTAAAAAGCAAAAAAACCAAAAATAAAGCACACAGCAAGCTCCATTGCTGAGGCTTTTAAAAAAAAACCAAAAATAAACAACACAGCAAGCCCCATCAGAAGGCTGCTGGGGCTGAAAAAAATAAACACAAAAACACAAAAAAAAATCAGCACAGAAACAACTCCGCCCCAGCCCAAACCCACCCTGCAAAACCCACCCAGAACAGGAAGTTTTTAAAAGGCAGAAAGCAGCACCTCACCTTACCAGGCAGTCCCAAGCCTCCCTGCCAACAAACACACTCTCACTCAGAAGCAGAAGCCAGGCACCAAGCCTCCTCTGGCACATACACACTCTAACCATTGGGGTGAAAGAACTACAAAGAAGCTCTTCGCCGACCAACGGTTAGCTGTCTAATTTGAATTCCCTGCCTTTTATCCCTGCCTCTTTTGATCGCAACTCAAAGCTCAGGCTGCAAGTCAAAGGAAAATTTTGCTGCCAGAGCTGGTCACAACTCGAAATAGTTGTATGTCAGGACGGTCATAAGTCGAGGCACCACTGTAGTTCTAAAATGCATGTTTTTTAAACTTGGATTTTCTTTTTATATCATATATTGCATATTGTAAAGACCTATGACCATAAACAATAAAATTTTGACTCACTATTATATTTCAAAGGGTTTTTTGAAAAGTATGGTTAAATCAAAATGTCTTCTTTTAGCCATTATTGGAATGCTATACAAAACTGAGAGAGAAAGGTGGAGTCATTAATCTGAAACTTTCTGAAACATGGTTACGACACTACCAGGTAAGAACTGTTCCTGCGCATGTATCAAAAATGCAAGCTTGTCTGGTGTAGAATTGCATGTGTTCAGTACCCGATCCTCCCAGTTTTATAACTCTAACACAGATAAAATATCTGAATCAAGTATCCTGATCATCATGGTCAGCAACAAAACGTTATATTGCACCTGAGTAGAAAAAATGATGAATTTAACATACATGTCCATCCTCTTTAATTTTAGGGTAAAAGTACAAATAGTGCTATTTCATTCTAAGAGAGCAGAAATGTATAGCCATCTGCTAAGTAACTGGACTTTCAAAAGCTGCAAAAGTTTAAATGGTTGTTCATTGTGGACTTTGATTGTGAAACGCAACAGCTAGGGTTACTGTACATTGAAAGCTATCTGGGAAGAAACAGAGAAGGGCTGCAGGTTAGTGTCAGAGCTCATACTTCCCATGCAAAAAGTTTTAGGTTCTTTCCCTAGTAGCTTTAGTGAAAATGCATCTCAAGTATGTTGAGACCTCAGATATTGGTCTAACAACATGGATGGACGGACCAATGTTCTGGGTATGTATGATAGCCATATGTTTTCATAATTGTACTTGCTAGATGGAAAACCTATTAGCATTGAGTGTACTTACCTTGCTTGTTGATATTTGGACAAATCTCTTAAATCATCTTTTTTTACAGTGCTTGTTTTCTACGCTTGTGTGCATTACCCTATAACATCAATGGCGAACCTATGGCATGCGTGCCACAGCTGGCACACAGAACCCTTTCTGCTGGCACGCGAGCCATAAGTCGCCGGATCGCTACTCCCCCGCCCCCCAGGCAGCCAAACCTCGACAGACAGTGGGCCAGGATCCGGAGTGGGGTCTCGATTCCCCCTTCCGCTGCCACTTCCAGTTCCGCTGCTGCGCCCACCGCCTGTTGGTTCTTTCTTTCTCTCTCTCTCTCTTTCTTTCTTTCTTTTTCTTTCTTTCTCTTTCTTTCTTTCT